CCCATGAATACGACCTCATCACATTGATCAGGGGCAAAAAAAGACATGAGCTGAAGGGGCTTGTGAAAGTTGCAAAGAAATAGACTTCAGATGAGACAGATGTAGCCACTTGCAAAGGACTCCCTGACACCTGGTACAGAGCCTTAGGAGGAACTGAGTGCCAGTGGTAGGGGTGGGGAAAAACGGAGGGCACACAAAGAATAACTCCATCAGTCTTACTACCCTTAGATGCCACAGACCAGACACAGTACCATATCAGTGCACAAATGGGTGAGAGGCAACACATGGGCACAGATACTCAACTCAAGAAACAGCAGTTGACTGTCAATAGCCCAGACCCCTGCGCTTGTTCTCTGTCCAAAATGAAGCTCACCCAAAATCAGCACATCAGCACTATTCTGTCATCAATCAAATCTTAAGGGGTCTTAGGAAAGAAACACTGTGTCAGCTAGTAGGAATGACTTGCTCACAAAGCTACCTTCCTGTAACCAGCACCTGGCTACACAACCATAGCATGAATTTGGAGCTTCTCAGGGCATCTGGTAGATGTGGGGCAGAGGGTTGTGGAGCACGCCAAAGAAAAACAGGAAATGGAGCACAGAAATCCCTGTCCAGACTCGGAGCATACCACTCAGATAACACTACAAGCTCCGGCTAATTACAGACAACACCGGGGCACTTAGAAAATATCAAGAAAAGCAGTCCAAAGTGTGCCACCCCAACCCCTGAGGTTTAGGGCACAGCACAGAGGCCCTGCTTACCTAGATCTAGGAGAAGCACGTTCCTGGAATCCTGTGATCCAACCTTTGGCCTTTATCAGAAGCCAGCAACATATGATATGCTGTTTGTTTTACAGCATATTTTTAAAAAGGTAGAGGTTTGTGCATTATTTTTTATGCCATAGGTTTCATAAGTTTGCCAAAGTTTAAGTGCCAGCGCATCTGCTGGGTCATGTGTGCCAAGAGAGAGAAATTTGCATTCCATTCTCAACCAGGTAAAGAGACTTTTTGCTCCACATCCCACTCAAAGCAGAAGTCTTATGGGATATCTGCTAAATATGTTAGAGTAACTTACTCAAATAAGATACCAATGGTTTCCAAACCTCAAAGAGGTTCACTAAGCATTGTGCCTCTTTCTTAACAATAAGTAGTGCAAATTACAGCAACTTTTAACTTTGGAGGGGCTATTTCAACTTATTTTTTATTACTGAACACCAAGAACATCATTGAGGTGGCAGGCTACTGTACTTTTACAGGCTGTGTTCCTATTCCCTGCATGTGTGTGTGTATCCATGACATCTGCAATACATGATACCTGCTCTGATGATGTCAGCAATATAGTGGCCTAGCATTCTGTCTTGTAGGATAATGAGATGATTGAGGTTCTTGTGGATTAAACTGTAGCTTAAAGCAAGGGAGTCAATATTATTTTTAGGTAGGATAACAATGTTATGTTGCCAACCTTGCTAGATAAAAGCAAACTGCTTTTGATATTCTCTCTTTGTTGGAAATAGAGAGCAATTGTTGCCAGCTAAATTGCTTCACAGTAGGCTTTGCTGATTTGGCCACATAAAGAGAATATATCTACATCAGCTGTATTTGAAGTCATCACCTGATGAAACTTACAATTATATTCTACCATTCTCTAAGACTCTGCTGTTTTCTAAACAAACCAAATAGGCAAATCAAATGGGGATATGATAGGAATCACCATCCCTGCATATTTCAACTTTTAGATGGTAGAACCAAACTTTGCAGTTCTCCTAGAAGGATTTTGATTTAGGATTCAAATTTTGGTACAGGGAAGGAGTTCCAGAGGCTTCTATTTGACCCTTCCTACAATAGTCATGACTTCATGTGCTAGGCAGCCAACACAGCAATTCTGCCAGGTGTTAAGTATATCTATTTGAAATACATACACATACATACATAAATACATGGAAGAACTTGGAAGAAAAACCACTGGGCCCACTGTGAGATGGCTTGATCCAAAATTCCTTTTATCACCCTGTGGCCTGCTTGAGAAAAACATTCTGGGTTCCCAAGAATTAGAACTGGCTCATCATTGGCATCTAATTACCTCTCCCAACAAAGTTTTTCTCTTTCTCATTGCATACATTTTTTTTCTCTTTTAGTAAATTTGATATTTACTAAAATATTGATTCCTTTGGATTGAGCTGGGAAATTTTTCTGGTGCATTTTATAATGTTATTGCCTACCCTTAGGTAAGGTGTTTTAGGTCTATGAAATACATTAAGTGTGTGAATTACCTTGAATCTAGTAACAAGGTGAGGGACAAGGTTGGGACTGGGATGAGGCAAGAGAGATACCTAGAGCACAAAAATTCACTCTGGTTTGTGCAAGTGCTGTTACTGCATCAAACCTTGAATCTTAGATGATTTTCTTGCCTCATCCTATTCCCAGCTTTTCAAGCAATAATGGTTGCCATGGTCCCTGTGGTTGAATGTGTCCCTGAAAAATTCATATGTTGAAATCCTAACCACCAAGGTGATGGTATTACAATTTGGGGTATTTAGGAGGTGATTCAGTTATAAGGGCAGAGCCCTCATGAATGAAGTTGCTTTCCTTATAATAAGGCCTCAGCGAGACCATCACCCTTTTCATTATGTGAAGACACAGCAACAAAACACCATTTATGAACTAGAAAACAGGCCGTTGCCAGGCACCAAATCTGCCAATGCCATGTTCTTAGACTTTCCACGCCTCAGACTGTAAGAAACAAATTTCTCTTATTTATAAGCCTTATTTATAGTCTGTAATATTTTTTATAGCAGCCTAAATGGACTAAGACAATGGTTCTTTTATCATATTTTTTTTTTAAAAATTCAAGTCTTTTTTTGACAGACCTAGAGTGTTGTTTTTGTTGTTATTTAGTTCAAATGAAATGTTAATAGATTGCCCATACAATTTAGTCTTAAATATCTCATCATCGGCCAGGCGCGGTGGCTCAAGCCTGTAATCCCAGCACTTTGGGAGGCCGAGGCGGGTGGATCACGAGGTCAAGAGATCGAGACCATCCTGGTCAACATGGTGAAACCCCGTCTCTACTAAAAATACAAAAAATTAGCTGGGCATGGTGGTGCGTGCCTGTAATCCCAGCTACTCAGGAGGCTGAGGCAGGAGAATTACCTGAACCCAGGAGGCGGAGGTTGCGGTGAGCCGAGATCGCGCCATTGCACTCCAACCTGGGTAACATGAGTGAAATTCCTTTTCAAAAAAAAAAAAAAAAAGATCTCATCATCAATAAACCCTATGTGTCAGATAATATTGATTATCTCTATAACTATTGTCTTAGATTGGAGAAATGCCAGTACTCTTTCATGTATGATTCTATAACCTTCACAGGAGAGATTTGCTAAGACTATAAATTCAAATGAAATTACAGGCCAGGTGTGGTGCCTCATGCCTGTGATCCCAGCACTCTGGGAGGCCGAAGCAGCTGGATCACTTACTATAAGGAGTTAGAAACCAATCTGGCCAAAATGGTGAAATCTCATCTCTATAAAAAATACAAAAGTTAGCAGATGTGCTCGTTTGAACCCAGGAGGTGGAGGTTGTAATAAGCTGAGATCATGCTACTGCACTCCAGCATGGGCAACAGAGCAGGACTGCATCTCAAAAAAGAAAGAAAAAAGAAAAAAAATTACAATCTTAATAGGTTTTAGGATCTGAGTTTTCTGCTATCCCAATTAAATTACAAGAAATCCTTTTAGAGCAGTCATAGAAATTCCCCGATACTTTGACTAAACCTTAAACAAAAACTTAACATATGACTTTATTGTTTTCGTTCTTTCTTTTTCTTTCTCCACTATGGTTAGAAGAAGCCTTACATTCTCTCCACCCTTTATAAGAGTCAGTGGGCACAGACTTTTCCGTCTGCAAAGCCTTACCTTCAGTAGGCACTTATCTGTTGAGCACAGATGGTAATATAAGTAACTTTTCATAACAGAAGGTCATGGACTTCTGGTGCCTCTTCATGGTCACTGGATCCTTGCTATTTTAAAATTTAATCAAGTAAGATAAACAGTCTCAACTTTACTTTCTTGAGGGTCCATTTCCTGCTGCCACTTCTGGGAACAGTAAATGTATTAGTCAGGGCCCTCAGTCATAACACAGTCTACCATCATGAGTCTAAGTGAAAAATGAATTTAACAAAGGATGGGTAAGCTAATTCACAGACTCTCTAGAAGGGCCGGGGAGCCACACCCTGAAATCACACAGCTGGAAACAAATGTCCATTCATGCTGTGCAGGCTGTGCTAGACTTGATACATATGAAGCTCAGAAAGCAATGCTCAAAGCTCCCCCAGGACCACCCCATAGAATAAAACATAATTCCCCTACATCAGGCCATTTCCTCACATTATCCACATGTATACATCTAATTGTAGAATCTAGTCAAAATCAACACCTTTTTAGAAGACAGTCTAAGATTATGAGTTTTCTGTCTTCTGTCTTGGGAAAGCACAATTCATGATAGATGGAAGTGATCAAAATAAAAGGAGAGTATTTTAAGAAGCTAGGCAATCATAACTGATAAATGTCCAGTAGTTTCAGAAGCTAGTGATAAAGTAACAGTTCATCCCATTATTATGTAATTTTCTTTATTTTCCAGAGGATATTTCAAATTCTTTTTTGAAGCCAATTTCTGTATCTATCTATCTATCTATCTATCATCTATCTACCTACCTACCTATCTCTGCACATATCTTGTGTACTCTCAAAAGCAGAAAATACATTTTTTCTCTTGGTATCTGACATAGCTCCAACAATAGCACCTGGCCCATAATAGGTTGTCAACACCTGTTTGTAGAAATAATGAGTGGATGGAACTATGTCAGATTTATCAGTCATGGCATAAAAGCCATTTGAAAATATGGGGATTATTTTTTCCTCCAAATTATGCCATTTCTTATACTTCCAATTATTCCCATTACAGTCCTCTGCATTTTTTGGGAAAATATTTTAAAACTATAAGACGTTCCTCCTGTTCCCTTTCCATCGGATCTGAAAGTTAGTGTTGGTGGTCATAAAAGGAGGAAAACTAATACTGTACTGAAGCTGGCCCTAATGTTGTAATCTGGTATATAGCATGTGGGCTAGTTTCAAACAGGTTCATAGAAAATTAAATAAATAAATAAATAAAAATAAATAAATGGAAAATAAAAAAACCTATAGGAGGTTTTATCATATTATTGCTTACAATAAAGAGACATTAACTGGCAAATTGGATAACAAGTGAAGACCCATTGGTGTGCTGTCTTCAGGAGAACCATCTCACATGCAAAGACACAAATAGACTCAAAATAAAGGGATGGAAGAAGGTTTACCAAGCAAATGGAGAGCAAAAAAAAGCAGAAGTTGCATTCCTAGTCTCTGATAAAACGGACTTTAAACCAACAAAGATCAAAACAGACAAAGAAGGGCCTTTCATAATGGTAAAAGGATCAATGCAACAGGAAGAGCTATCCTAAATATATACGTACCCAATACAGGAGCACCCTGATACATAAAGCAAGTTTTTAATGACCTACAAAGAGACTTAGAGTCCCACACAATAATAGTGGGAGAGTTTTAACACTCCACTGTCAATATTAGACAGATCAATGAGACAGAGAGAGAGAGAAACTTGACAAGGATATCAAGGAGTTGAACTCAGATATGGACCAAGTGGACCTAATAGATGTCTACAGAACTCTCCACCCCAAATCCACAGAATATACATTTTTCTCAGCACCACATCACACTTACTCTAAAATTGACCACATAATTGGAAGTAAATCACACCTCATCAAATGTAAAAGAACAGAAATCATAACAAACATTCTATCAGACCACAATGTAATCAAATTAGAACTCAGGATTAAGAAACTCACTCAATGAGAACACATGGACACAGGGAGAGGAACTTCACACACTGGGATCTGTTGGGGTTGGGGGGCTAGGGGAGGGATAGTTGGGGGTGGGGAGGTTGAGGAGGGATAACATTGGGAGAAATGCTTGATGTAGGTGACGGGGGGATGGAGGCCACAAACCACCATGGCATGTGTGTACCTATGCAACAATCCTGCAAGTTCTGCACATGTACCCCAGAACTAAAGAAGTATAATAATAATAAAAAAGAAACATTAGAAACAACCTAAATGTCCAATAATAGTAGACTAGTTTAATATGTTTATGTATATTATCTCAAACAACTGACTACTATCTAATTATGAAAATTGTCACAGTGATCATCTCTTATTTTAGCTGCCAGGAATTTTTCTTTCATTTAATAGTAGTATCCCAATTTTTCTTTAGGATAATATCCCTGCTAACATTATACATAACCCTGATGGTGACCACCTTCCCTTGGCCCAATGGTAAGCATGTAAGCCAGGATTGGATAGATGTTCTGGGCATACAGTTTGAAAGGCAAGAGCTCTGAAGTTGAAATTTATTCACTCTATCTTGAATAAATTATGTATTGCATTCTTCTTTCTCAATTCATGAAGCAAGATGATTCTTTAAAACTCTTTATACTTCCTTAAATTTTGCAAATTTCCCTGCGTTGTAAACATAAATTATTTTTCTGTTTAGGATAACTAGAGCTGGTCTTTTGCAAACAAAAACCCTAAATGATAAAATTGGGTTTTAGAAAAACATTTTGTTGACCTGGAGAAAGAGTTACAACAAATTACTCTGTGAATAAAGTAACTTGCAAAACCATGCAATGTGTTCAATACAAATTAATACATGAATACATGTATATAGAAAACATTATAAATGCATCTGTAAAAATATAATTAGTGTTTCTAGGAGATAGTGTTATTAATTTTTATTGTCTTGTCTTTGTTAATTCTTCTTTTTCAAATATGTTAGAATACCTATATATTACTTTGTCAATCAGAAACATATTTTGAAACAGAAAAAAAACCTCTCATTCTTGATTTTAAATGTCAATTACTTAATTAAAAAACTAATGAAGAATGCTAAATTAATTTAAGAACCAAAGGAAAGAATAAATCTTAAGTTTGTTTACTCAAATAAGAACCTGAAGCTTCAACATAGAGTGACAAGTTGACCATAGCCAGTGTACTTGGTTTGTGACTTAGGCAGGCCTGAGGTAAGTGAGGAACGTGACTAGCTCTTTTGGAGGATTTAATTCTACTGCTAACTTTGAGCATGGCTGATGAAACTCGAATATTTCTCACAATAGCCCCCTAAATTTTTTCTATCCCTTCAACTCTTACATCTTCTCCTTTTTGTATTGCTTCATTACAGCTTGCAATAAACCCAATTCAGATCTCCTTAAGCAAATAAATAAATAAATAAATAAATAAATACATTGGATTTATAAACTTCAGTAATAAAAAAGTCCAAAGATAGAACAAACTTCATACATTCAAATCATATCTTCAGGAGTCAATCTCTGGATACTAAATCAGTTTTCCATTGTGTTGGCTCAAAATATATTAAGGCACTCTTGGTGGTGCCCCAAAAGCTCCAAATCTATGTGTTTTCTGATTAAGTGTAACATATAAGATATTTTTGTTTTCAACAATTCAAAGTCCCAAACTGAGTCTTCTGGTACAATGAGTCATGTGCCCATCTATGAACAAATCACTGTTGACCAAACGATTGTGATTGGAAAGGCCAGACTCACTTACCCATTGGGCCAGAAGGGGAGTAAGTCTATTCCATTATGCGAAATAAGAGCAGGGGTAGAGTGGATGCCCAAGGGAAACACCAGTTCTGTTACCAGAAGGGTAGTCCATTTGGAACAGGCAAAACTAGCAAATGTTTACCTCACCATTTCTTTTTAAAATCTATACAAGTGTAAGAAGATGAGAGTGAGGATTGAAGTTTTGAAATTTGGCAGTTCTTTTCTCTTTGAAGCTCTGTTACAAAGAAAATGACCACCATAAAATAATAGAATGTCAGGAAATCTGAGCTTTGCTCTTAGCAATATCAAAACAAGATTATTAAATATCTTTGAGTATCAGTTTTGTCATTTGAAAACTGTGGGAGGGAGGAAAGGGAGTAACAGAACAATAAGATGTGCTCTAAAAGTCCCTTGTAACTTCGTTGTTTGGCTTTAAATTACATTTTAAAACTTTTTTGTCTTCTCTCTCACATTAGCCTCGAAATAGACTTTGAAATTCTTTGTTTCCCTCCTTTCCCACTAGGAACTCCCTTGTACTGCGCTTGCCTTCCATGTGCTTGCTTAGAAATTCCAGGAGCTAATCTTAAACAGGCATGGAGACCCCCTATGCAGTTCTCCCCGTCTAGAGATTGCCTCAAGGATGTGAATCTACAACCAGCCATTGTCAACATGTCCTCAGCACACACTGCAGGTAGACAATGACTCAAGACGGCCTTTGGAACAAGACACACAGATGCTGCACTCTGCCCCACTGCTGCATGTTTCACACACCAGTTTGCCCTTTTAAAACCCCTTTGTTCAGCCTAAACTTTTGAGATGGTTCTTTTGAGGCCTGCGCCCAGCCATCTCCCAACTGCTAGCATCTGATAGAGTTGTTTTCCTTTCATCACACCTTACTTCTCCTATTTTGGCTTTTGAACAGTGAGCAGCCAGACCTGAGTTCAGTCACACCATCAGTTCCAAAATTTTATCTTTGGCCAGACCTGATTTCAGTTAAGATTCTTGATTAGATAAAATCTTTGTTTTTTCCCTTTAAGAGGGTGTTATTTCTAATACATCATGCCTTATTTTATATATATATATATACACACCATGAGAATAAGCTTATTGCTTGATGATCAGGTTTTGAGTAAAAACAAAACTATAATATCTGATGACAAACATGTAAAGAACATTTTTTATAAAAGCATGAATACATATTTTGATGGGATTGCTTTTCAGATCTAACAGGCTAACACATGATTTGGATGCTTTTGCAGGAAAAGGATAATGTGTTAGGAACAAATTAGAGCTCATTATGAAAACATGGTGCACTAATACCAGGTACAGAAATTATGCCATCAGAGTCCAAAGAGTGTCCAGCAAATTATAATTTTCATTTTTCAGTGCTCTCTAAAGAGGCTGCTATAGAAACTTTGATAGAAAAATTAGAGCTATCCTTTATTGAACATCTGCTATGTGTGTTCTCCTTAATACTCTATTATAAAGCATATTGTGGCATTCTGTATAGTGACTGCAAGGTAAAATACACATGAGAAAGTTAAGGCTCGAAGAGGTTAAACTTACTCAAGCTCATAAATCTGGTAATTAGCAGAGATGGATATGTTCTCAGGTCTCTTGCACCTTCTGAGTGTGTGGTTGTTCTCACTTTGAGACCATTCCTTTTTGTAATCTCCAAAGAGAGAGTGCCTCACAATCTTGCCTTGTATTTGGAAAAGTGTCCCCTAGAAATATCTTTGGCACATTTGAATTTCAGGCAAATGTATACCAATTGATGGACAGTCTATAATAATGCAGGAGGAGTTACAGCTTTTTTTCTAAATTGCTATTATCTAGCAGAGAATACAAAACTTTGACTTTAAAAAGAGTGAATCGGCTCCTATTTCTAAACCCAGACATGCAGTTAAGAGTGATCTTGCAGAAACTGTATTACTAGAATGTGTTGCAGAAACATTACATTTGGTTGCTAATGTAGGATCTGTTTTTTAATATAGCCATATTAATTTCTCTTTGTTTTTCATGTTATCCTTGGCAAAATAAGTAATAAAACTAAAAATAAAACCCTCGTTTGAAGGAACATGCCTCTGAAGCAAGAAGCACAAACGAACTCAGTAGCTGAAAGTTTCTTACTCTCTTAGGAATGGTGGTTGTTTTTTATTAAATCAGTGGACATAGGTCAGCAGAGCTGCCTTCAATGGTAATTTTGGATGAATCGAGCCCTAAGGCAATCAGGGCAAAGTTTTCCTGTGTGCATGTTAATTTGAGTGTCTCACAGTGCCAAAGGCCGTAGCAGAACCCACAGCAAAGAACATGCTAATAAAGTAGCTGGATAGCTGTACAGGGAAACAGAAGCTGAATAGGTCACTAGTCTTAGTTCAGCCACAAGATTTCTTTCTATTCTAAATTTTCACAGCAACGTATTATACAAGCTCAGGTAAATCTCAAGAGATTAAATAATGATTCACGAGCC